AAAAAAAATCACATATTATAATCTCAATTGAAAGAAAGAAATATTTCAATTTTTATGAAAACAAAAAATATCATGTCAACTAAGAATCAATAATTTAATTCCATAATTATTAAAATAATAATAATAATAATAATAATAATAATAAAAAAAAAATTGCTAATAACTGTTGTTGAAAATTTCAAATGAATAATTTGCTGATTCAGCCAATTTTGCTCTTATTGATCTTGAAAATGGATTTATCCCATGCTTTCTGTGTCCTGCAGACTCTAGTTTTATGTATTGACATCATGAAACAAGTATTTCATGAATGGTTGACAACCTGGACGATCTTGTGCTTGATTCATGTTTGACACAAACTTGTTTCCTTCTTGGAAATGCATGTCCTTTTGGGGGAAAATTTATGTAGTTCGGTCAATGATTTTATCCTGGTTTTTTAATTTTGAATTATATTTTTGGTCTGGCAATATTCAGTACTAATTGATTCTGTGTACATTGGAAGAAGCTCAATTGAGTGGTGAAATTGATTTTTCATCCATCTTTCTTTCATTATATTTACAAAATTATTCTTTCCCGCAGGAACCCATTAACATCATCTTTATGAGACTTCATTTCTCATATTTGATTTATTTTTTCAGATATTATTCTTCTTAGAAAATTTTAATTCAACATGCTAAATCTTCTCCCTGCGAAGTCAGATTTTGTTTCAACAGATTATATCTTCATGCAAGCTCTGCTTGGTATTTGTGTACAGTTTTGCTATGTATACTTTACCTTTTGTTACCAGAGATGAGAGCTACCTTTTCTCGATTCTCACAACGGTTTGATCTCTGTTTTGCCCTTTTCTTGCTTTTATCTTTTAGGTGATATTATCTCCAGATGCAGATCCTCCAGTTGTCAGAATAATGGATTACAAGTAAGACATATATACTTTTTGGTTCTGCTAATTGCTTCAGCAAATTTGGTATTATAGCTAATCAAATCAAATGGAGTAATCTATCTGAATTTTGGTAGACATTGACAATATGATCAGTTAATAGAAGTTTGGAAGATATGTAGCTATGCACTCCTTAAATTTAAAATATCACGGCGACAAATTAAGGACGTTATTTATATATATCCACATCCACACACACACTCCTGTATTTGTTGTCTATTTCTTGTCACAGTTGCTTAGTGACTGAAGTGCTGATGTGTTGCTTTTTATGACTTCTGCAGTAAATATAGATATGAGTTGCAGAAGAAGAAACGAGAACAGCAGAAGAAAAGTCTTGGTGAGAGAATGATTTTCAAACGTTGTCATTTGTCTCTGTTCCTGACATTAATCTTAAAATCAGAAAATTACTCAAATCGATGTACCGATTTCAATGGCAGCCAGCCGCATGGATTTGAAGGAACTCAAGATGGGGTAAGATTTGTAGTTATGGAATTTATAATACTGTGGTTTTGTTACAACATTGTAATTTTTCATCGTCTCCTGATCTTGCTATAACTCCTAATTGGATTGCTGTTATGTAAAACTTTAAAAATTATAGTAGTTGCTTCTTTATTCAATTTATTTGCTGCTTCTAGTTTCTCCATGTTCTATATGCAAGCTGATTTGAAATGGAAACTAGGCTTTTTAAGCTTTGAGAGCACAACTCCAGTAGTTTAACATTTTTTATATGGATTTATGTTACTGAGTTTTTGGGCCGTTAAAAGCATAAGATACCCGTGAGATGAAATTTAGAAATTTTTAATTCACTATCATATTTAGAAGTTTCTTGTCTTGGAAAATGCTAGTTCACTTTACTTATTTTACTTCATTTTTGAGCCAGGATGGTAACCTAGAAATGTCTTTACTTTTAGGTACAAGGCTTATATACAATCAAAAAATACTAGATGTTATTGTTAGGTGTCTTCATTGTCTTCTACTGAATGCTATATTGAGGACATACTCTATAAAATCGAATCTTATGAAAGAGTTAAAATCTAAACATATGCCAAACACATGTCAGCTTAGGGAATGGAACCCAACAATTTATCGAGGGACATGTATATGACTAATTTTCTTTACAGTGTGTCCATTTGGACTTGGTCCTGCAAAGAATTTATTTGGAAGCGGATGATCTTTTTCTTTTCTTTTTCCTGATTTTCTTCTTTATGTGTATTAGTGAGTTGTTGGGGGTGAGCATGTTGTAGGATTTATTTCCTAAAGCAAAGAAAGTTTGTATAAATTCCATATGCTGATAAAAGTACTACAATCAAGTTAGTTGCAGGCTTGCGGCAAATGGTTTTACAGGGTTGGGTTGGAAGTATATAGAACTAAGATTTGGACCTCAACAATGTGCCACGAGTCTAAGTATAATGTGCTACGAGTCTAAGTATTTTACTGATGTGCTGGAAAATTGCTTGTAGTAGAGCTAAAATAGTTTTTGTGGGTGGGTGGGTGTGGTTTTCTTTATTTCACTTCTTGTTCCATTTGGTAATTTTTACAAGACCTTATTATAGGATTTTTATGAAGTCATAGAAAACCCTTTACTGAAAGTCATAAAAACTTTGCACTAAGCCCCCGTTTGGCCCCCATTATTCCCCATTATAATTTATTTTCATCTCTCTTCTTATCAACCACATATTTTCCAATAAAATGATATTATGCGTAAACCCAAAAACTTTTCCTTCTTTTTTAACCATACATTCTCCAAAAAATTACTATTCCTCTCATTATAATGTGAAATAATGGGCAAATGGGCTCTGAATGTATCTATTAAAACCCCGTTCATTTTCACCATCAGCCCATTAATAAAATTTTTTGTCATGAGATACACTTGTGAAAAGTATTTATTGAACTTGAAAAGTCTATTCCTAAACCAAAAATACATTTAAATTTGTGCTTTTACATCTTATATAAATTTACTGTCAATTAGAGGGAGAGTGCACTGATAAAAATTGTAGGAATATCCTAAGGAGTAAGGAATACTTAGAACATGCTGCATTGTTGTTAGTAGGTGTTTGGTTACCCTTTCACATAATTACCGATATTCTCATAGTTGGAAGGCTGAAATTGAGTGGTCCTTGACACATTTACAATATATACATAAGAATAAAGACGCGAACACTAAGCTGCAACTAGTTAATCTTGAAAACTGATGTGTAGTCATATTGAATTATAGAAAATTCAAAGGTAATGCGATTGATATTTTTATCTAGAAAAGTAATTTAAAGAGAATTGTGATATAAAGGAATGTACCATCCGCGGATGAAGTCTATTCAATGTTTCCTTACCATGCATCATCCATAGTATGTTTGCTAGAGATGCTAAAGGAATAGATGTAGGATTATTATCAACAGGCAGTATATGTTTATGTTACATAGCTATTACATTGACAATCCAATGTACATGATAAAAAAGTATTCACAAGCCATGCAATATAAATAAAAGCCATACCATTCTTTTTACCTTGTTCCAGTGGTACTTGTGTCCCGTGGCTATTTTCTGCTGTTGACAATTTCTTATATCCATGCATTACGTCCTACTTTCTTTCTATTTTTATTTGTTGTGCCCATCTCCCAAATATGAATTGCTGCTTGCATTTGTCAAATTAAGAGGAGGAGAGCAAAAATTATTGTCATGCACATGAATGGGAGTTGCTAAAAGAATGGAGATGTGCGTAATGGATGTTCTATTTCTAGTGTAAAAAATGCAGACTGTAGTTGCTGGAAAAGATATCTGATGAGTTGATTGTACTGAGAAAAAAGTTTGTGACCCTTACTGGCTAATGTGATACAGCCAATTATCTCTTTCATATTCGCAGCACTTGAATTCAATGTTAAAGGCTATTAGTATTTTCTTTGACTTTGAATCAAGGATCAGAGAAAAGAGATTTTTTTCCCCTTTTCCAATAAGCATTCATTGCTAGCAAAATTGGTGTGCTTGATAATTCCATATTATCTTCAAACTTTTACTGCTTTTTGATGGCAGTTACAATATCGATGTGCATGATTACTCTGTGCGTTTGAAAGCAGCTAAGAAATTTCTAAAAGATGGTGATAAGGTTTCTTTCAATTCTTACGACTGCACGCTCCATTACTCATAAATGTAGAATTTTTTAATGTACTTCCCATGCTAATGATATTCAGAGGATTTCTGCAGGTAAAGATTATAGTGAACTTGAAGGGGCGTGAAAATGATTTTAGAAATAATGCCATAGAGCTCATCAGACGGTTTCAGAATGATGTCGGGGAGGTAATTTGTACTATATAGCTTCACCTTTTCAAATGAATGTTGCAAGTGATTTGGTGTATTTGCTCTTGGTGCATGTTTCTGAGTTAAATTAAAACCAAGCATGCCAACTGTAATAAAAGAGTTTTAACGTCTGGAGCGCTTCTTATTTCTCTGTCTTTCTGTCATTAACTTTTCTTCTACTTTGTACACCCTAATGCTTCTTTTTATTGCTTTCAATAAGATCTACAACTCTGTGTCTGTCGTGCTGGATATATCATCTCTTATTTTCAATCTGCATTTCCTGTTTGACCTTTTTGCTCGGTGATGTTCACAGCTTGCTGTCGAGGAGAACAAAAATTTCCGTGACAGGAACATCTTCATAATATTGGTTCCAAATAAAGCCGTTGTTCAAAAAGCTCAAGAACCACCAAAGAAGAAGGATAAGTCAACAGCAAATGAAGTCTCAGCAGGTGTCTGAGTGTATTAAAGAAATAGCAGGTAGTATAGACTCTTCTTTTTAAAACTGGGATTTTGCAAAGATCCCTTTGTCATGTATAGATTTGTGTACAACCTGTACAAGGATAATTCGCTTTATATAATATCAAAAAAAATAGCCGGTCGACGTCTTCAGTGAGCATTATGCTTGAAGTTTACTTCTCTGCTTCTCATTATACACACAA